GAGGCGAAGAGCCTCGAACTGCAATCAGGCTTCTCGGCTGTTTGAGTGCTGTTTGAGCGTAAGCTGGGAGCCGGCGATTTGGTGAATCCCAGAGATCCCAACAGTAGCTTCTAGTCTAGTAGTTAGAAAGCTTCTAGTAGTTAGAAAGCTTCTTGCTCCGGGTAGTTAGAAAGCTTCTTGCTCCGGACTCGTAGCGATGCCCTTCTAGTGACGTTCGGTTCGCGATGCCCTTTGTTACCAGAGTCAACCTGAAGCGTTGTTTTGTTTTTTCATGTCGACCTGAAGAGGCAAATCCCAGGGACTCCCTGCGGTGCTTCTCCGGTTTTTTGGAGAGCGAGGAACTCAGATGGGCCGACAGACTGAACAGACACTAATTGCGATCCGTTTTTCATCGAAATAGGATGAAAGATACGTCAGCGATCATCGCAATGATGTTTGCTCAAAAGGACTGACAGAGAAGACTTTGCCCGGATGCAAGTCCTGGATGCTAAGCCATGGACTTCGAAGATTCCATGGTGTTCTCGTTGATCGAAGTAGAGAAGCTCTTACCACGATCCTTGCGAGACAACATGCTGCCTGTGGAACATGAGAATGCACAACTTTTGGCAGCAGTGATTCAGAGCAGCTTATCTGCAAGGCAACTGCAATGTCTGAACGCTTCTCTCAAAGCGTCCATGACCACGCGATCGAAAACGCCCATGACAACGATGCTCTCGTCACCGAAGGAGCAAAGGCCCGCGACGCCGGCCATGGGTGATGCCCTTCGCCCTCTTCGCCCTCTTCGTGACCCTAGTAGCGATGACCTCCACCCTAGCATGCTCACTTTGAAGGAACTGCGTGAAATGGCAGGCCTGAAACGTGAAAGGGACAGAAGTGACAGAGACGAGGATGATGACGATGATAGAGCCGATAGAGCCGATGACGGTGGTGAAGGGACATTTCTGGAGGAAGATGTGACAGGGATGGAGGAACACTTGGCGCTGAGCGTGGCTGAAGTGGTCGCCTTGTTGATATCCTTGCGCACAGCAAAGAATGAAAAGGCACGGAGAGAAGCTCATTGGGCAGAGGAACAAGCGGCAACTGTAGAAGAATTGCGCTTTGCTTATGAAGAGTGTCTCCAAAATACTAGGGTAAAGCAAGAACAAGCTGAAACATTTGCACGAGTGCTCAAGGAACCTTTGGACACAAGGGACGAAGATGGCGACCGTTTTTGTGCTTGGAGAGATGCCAAACTCAAAGCGCTAAGTGTGAGAGAACGATACGAACAAGAAGTTCTTTGTTGGCAAGAAAGCCTGGATGGGACTTTGGCCCATTTACAGCAGGAGTTCCTTTTGGAAGAGCAAGTTTTAGCTGAGTGTTGCGAAAAGCTTGGCACTGTTGAGCGAGAGGCCGAGATGGGAACTGAGAGTCGAGAAGTGCTTCGGGAACGACGTTGGGAGGTTGAGCAACTGGAGACCTTGCGGAAGCGCTTAGAAGATCAGAGGCGAGAGGAGGTGGAGAAAAGCGAAGAAAGCCAATTGCAATATCACCGGGAGACTCTTCATTTTGAAGGTCAGATTCAACGCTGCGCTGATCTTCAGCAGGAATTGACTGGGAAGGCTTGGAGTATGTCCAATCACCTGCAGAAGAAGTTGCTCGAGACTGAAGCCATGCATGAAGCACTTGAGGAGGAAGCAGCATCTGAATTGGCATTTTCCAAAGCCCAGTCTGAGCTGCGTGAGTTGGAGAAGGAAGAGGCTGAGGCGGCTGATGCCCGATGGGCATATGTAAAGGCTGAAAAGGCTCTTGCTCCGAAACAGAGGGAAGTGGCAGAGGCATTGAACGAATCCTTGGAATTGCGAAGAAGCTTGGCATTTGCATCTCGTGAGAACCAGGCGGCAGAAACGAGCGAAGCACGCGCGCTTCGAGACTTTCAACTCTCGCGCAAACGGAATGCCAGTCTTCGCGAGTCGTTGAAAGGGGAACAGGCTTGCCTGGCGGAGCTTCGAGAATCCCACAAAGAGCTCGAAGCAAAGGATCGGAAAGTGCTGCAAGAAAGGAAGCTGGAAGCTCGTTTTTTGCAGTCAGAGGAAAGGCATGGTGAGCTGGATGCACTTCGAGGTGCTCTTCGAGCAGAAACATCACAAATTAAGACGGAGGCTGGAGTCCGGCTGGAGCAATGAAATCAATGGGCTAAACAGGGGTCAGGACATTGTCAAGCTTTTCTTGGTTTGAATCCTTTGTTTGCTGTTGATACCCTACCAAGCAACCGCCCTTCCCCCGCTCAAGTTCAATTTGGCTCTGGGTGTGTTGAGGGATGTTGGTACTGCATGCTAGACAGATTGCATGTCCAGCATTTATGAAAGATCTCCTCGGCCACCAGAAGCTACAAGGACTCATGGCCAAAAACGTGCTGCTCAGTAAACTGTGGCCCAGAGCCTGTCAGTTGCATCAACCGGACACCTTTCATCAACTAGCCCGGAGTGAAACCACACGGAAACCAGAAACTGGGCGATGATTGAAGCACCCACCGCTGCATCCGAGTTTTGGCTTTGATGATTGAAGCACCCATCTCCACCTGAGTGTCACAGGTTTGATCAGTCGGCTTCAAAGGTGAAATCCTTGGGCTTGGGCTTTTGATGCTGAACTTGCATACCAAAACACGTGTCAATCCAAGATTTCCAACTTCGTCCATGTTCGCATGTGTGTTGCATATGTTGTCATATTGTGTTTTCATAATTGTTCATATTCTGTTTTGAGGCTACTGGCTAGACCAACGGCTGAAGAGGTAGAAGTGAACAATTCATATGGTGTTTTCCTATTGTGAACAACGTCAAACCAGATTCAGAGCTCGCCTTTCCAGGCCGAGGCAGCCCGTCGGCTGCGGGTGGAGTTGCGGGCGATGCGGGCACAGCAACGGCACCGCGAGCGCGTGCGACAAAGGACACCGGACCAGGTTCCATCAGACCTGGGGTCCTTCGTGTCGGGTCGGCGATGGGAAACGACACCCACGGCACCCACGGCAGACGACGCGTCCGTCCATGCGGTCGTTCCGAGCGAAATGGGGCGCAGGGAGGAGACGAGAACTCCTGAGCTGGAGAACATGCAAAGACGATTTGAGAGACGGGAGCGAGAGCTGCGAACTTTGAGGGCTTCCTTGTGTGTCTTAAGCTCAGACATGGGGCATCAGTGGTTTCATGATGGAAAGCATCCAGAGATCAACGAAAATGGAAGCAGTTACAGTTGCCGTTTGACGAAAGCGCCGTTAGGATTCTTTAGGTCTTCAACTTAAGTGCTCCTCTACTTGCAGTTCCTGACGGCCTATCCAATCTTCAGGTCTTGGTGGCGCTCTAACAGAAACGTTTTCAGAAGAGCTTACTGCAAACTAGTAGCTTCTTGTTACTAGTAGTACTGCCAGGAGCTACTAGTAGCCTCTTGCTCCTAGTAGCGATGCCGTTTGTTACTAGTAGCAAACCATAATTATTCGGCCTTTCTTCCTTTTCGTTGTTCTTTGTTTCTAATTGCAATGGACTTCGACCTGTTAGCGATGGCCTCCAACCTCATGGCGATGGCCTCCAACCTAATATTTTACTGATTTGCCTTAGGTGTTGACCTGCCCCTGAGCAGTTGTTCCAACAACCTTTACAACCCCCCGCTCTTTCTTTGTTCTCTCTCTCTATTTCTTCCGGCAAACAACATCTAACATATTCTTTCTAAACCAACACTATAAAGGCCGTCTAAAAGTACGTGGACCTTGGTGGCAGAGCTCGTATTTGTGTGTGTGTGTTTTCTTTTCTATCTGTTACATTGAAGGAAGGAAAGGAAAGGAAGGAAGCACCGTGGATTCTGTTTGCTTTTGATGGTGTGCTGCTTGCAAAGCTGTGCTGCCTGCAGTGGCCAATTTATTGAGCACTGTGCTGCAGGTGGCCAGCTACCAAAGCTGTGACGTAAAGGTTCGGAGCCATTCCAATGTAGCGTACCTTTTTGTGAGCCAACCGAGTGCAAATTTGCAGGAAGGTAGGTGTCATCCCAACGTGGCAGACCTGTGAGCCATCCGAGGGTAAAGTTTAGAGGCGTGGGCCGTTCCAATGTAGCAAGATGCCTCTGTGCGCAAGTCAGTCATGCCTGCGCAAGTGAGGTTCTTTATATGCGCATGTGAGGCTTGGGACAAGGCCCCGGCCCCTTACTACTTAAATAGGCAGGGTCGACTGCCAACTTCGCGAGGTGTTTTTTGTGCGCAAGTGAGTGGCGAGCCCAACACAGCGCCAGCTTTTGCCTATCAAAGCCTTCAAAGCAGTTCCCATCATATAGGAAACAACGGGCGCACAGGTCGATGTGGGGAGTGTGTGCGTGTGCTGCAGTCGGTGGCTTGAGCATTTCTTTATGACAGCCCCCAACAAAAGCGACAAGATTCATCCTGGAATCCTGGCTACAATGCGGAAAACCAATCCAGCAAAACAACCCCGCAACCCGAAGTATCTCACCAAAGCCAAACCAAATCCATAGAGCTAGGGCACCATATGAAAAACCTACCGGTGAATTAAAATCGAAAAACACACCCAGAAAAAAACACGTCAGCCCTTCATGGCCATTACCACCCCGTCGCGACTAGCATCTTTGGCCACCCTTCGATAAAAAGCTCTAAATGCAGTCGTTCGCAGACGTGTTTTTTTGCTTTTCAACTGTGCAATTCCTTGTGATTTTAGTAAATCATACACCAGAATGACGCCACGGTCTATACCTTCAATGCACACTACTGAATCACACCCTTCCAGCATTCATGTCATTCAGACACCGAGGATGCGCAGAATCCCTGAAGACCGCGGATCAAAAAGGAGAAGCTGCGGTCATGTGAGAGACACCAGAGACGCGACATGCCATGACAACTGGGGGATGTGTTGATGCCAAGACCCACTTTGCAACAAAACCTCGCCAGAGACATAAGATCAAGTCGTAAGTTCAGCAAAAAAAACCTATTGCAGAAGTGTCCTTGAGGTCGAACATGGAGGTGGGATTCTGAGATCGGACGTGTGAAAACACACAGCGGATTTGAGTGGAAAACCGCCCGGTGGAAGTTTTTTTCAGGTGGTCTGGTGAGATGTATGGCACCGGCAACCGTCCTGACAGCTAATCCCCAGGCTCGGAAGATGACACCACAACATAGAATCATATTTGCTACTGATAGTAATGCCCTTGTTACTAGTAGCGATGCACTTGTTACTAGTAGCTAGAAGCTTAAGATATCTTACTGAGAGACTTAAGATGGATCAATTCAACTTTTTGAACAACATGTATCAGAGACCCTTTGGCCTGGCTTCTTGCTTTTGGTGGCTGGTCATTCGTGTCGACACCTGCAGGTCCAGCCGGTGTTCGCCCCAAGGGCCATGCCACAAGCTGGTGGTGATCTTGGTTGAGAGAAGACATCGAGGAACAAGTGCATCGCTAGTATAGTAACAAGTGCCTTACTAGTAGTAACAAGAAGCTACTAGTAACAAGTGCATCGCTTCTAGTAACAAGTGCCTTACTAGTATAGTAACAAGAATATATTTATTTTTTTCACAACGCAAGAGCTGCTAGAGCTTGGTAGGTCTGCTCGGTCTCCGAATTGACATTGTGAGCTAGGTCTCCAGGCCTGAAGACATGAGGATTAAGAGTGGTTTTCATGTGGCACCCTTTTCCATCCTTTTCCTCTGAGGGATCATGCGGAAGCCCGCGTGACCAACGGCAAATGCACCGTTTCACCCAAGTTGGCCAACGGTTCAAGTCTATTTTAAGTCGAACTCCGACCAACTCCACGGTGAAAATCTGAAGGTTTGAAGCTGAATGTTTGAAGACCATGCGAGAGAGAGAGAGAGAGCATATACTTCAGAAGTCTTCCTGTTTGTTTCGGTCCAAAAGTTGCGAAGACTGGCTGAACGGTAAACGTTTGGCAGCAACGTTCAATATGTCCAAGAATTACATGTCTTTCTTTCTTCATACAGGAGGATGCCAGTTGCTTAAATTGCATCAAGGTGACAACATGTGACAACAGACTTTGAGTTGGTGTTTTTACAGCCTGTGAAAGCATGGTTCGTATATGTTTAAATCGTTTTGTTGCTTCTAGGTTGGAGGCCATCGCTAGGTGGGGTGGAGGCCATCGCTATAAGTAGCTTCTTCACATTTCGCCATGCTGAGCCTCCGCGGGCTGCGGAGCCTCCGGGGCCTTCGGGCCTTTAGTGCAGCGCCCGCAGCCTCAGCTTCCTCCCCCCTAAAGAAACCAGCTCGACCGATTCTTGGTCGAGCGCAGTCTTCGCCAAAACGCCCAAACATCCCATCGCAACGACCTGACACCGATGAATGTTCATGTGTTGAAAAGAAAGGGCGCCCCCAGGTTTGCTCACATCCTACTCACCTAGTAGCGATGGCCTAGTGCCACTATATTCATTGGACAAGCTTTTGGTGGATGTTTGGTGGAAGTCCATCTTCAGGAACTGGAGGTGGACCCCTCAGTTGACATGAACGAAGCCGTTCGTTCCTCTCTTCGACAGGAAAGTGGTGATCGTGGGGACGGGCTGGGCCAGTTTCCGTGTATTGGCAGATATCGACAGCAAGAAGAACGACGTCACAGTGCTCTCTCCACGAAACCACCTGCTCTTTACACCGATGCTGGCATCGTCCGCCTTGGGAACCGTGAACCAAAGGTCTATTTGCCAGCCTGTGAGACCCCTGGTGGCCAAAAAGGAGGCCACGTACTACGAAAGCTCTGTGGTTGGTGTTGACAAGGAGAAGAAGGTAGTGAGATGCATGACCTTGGGTGGGCAGGAGTATGACCTGCCGTATGACAAGTTGGTGGTTGGGATAGGATTTCAGCCGAATGACTTCAACATTCCAGGAGTGAAAGAAAACGCCTTGTTCATGAAGGAAACGGCAGATGCCACGCGCTTTAAGGACCACGTTGGGACCTCAGAATTTGGAGCGAAGCAATGAGTGATGTGTTCAATGTCTAATTTGGCGATATCAGACTCTTGAAGAGACTTTTCTACCCAGTCTTGACCTCTCGGCACTCAGATTTTGGAGAAGTTGGAGGAAGCAGCCTACACCAATGCCTTAGACAACGACTTGAGATTGAGTGAAGAGGAAAAATGGAGAATTCAGGAGCTCTTGACCTTCATTGTGGTTGGTGGTGGTCCGACCGGTGTGGAACTTGCAGGTGAATTGACCGACTTTTTGTACAATGAGGTGGCGCATTTGTACAAAGACCTGAAGCCTTTCATCCGCGTGCACATGTTCACATATGATTTGTTGAACACCTTTGACCAAAAGCTCCAAGACTATGCCCTGACTCATTTGAGAAAGAAGCAGAATGTACAGGTTCATTTGGGTGCCTTCGTCCAAAAGGTGGAGCCAAGTGTGGTTCATGTGAAGCTTGGGGAAAGTGCCATGTCAATTCGCTATGGCACGCTAGTCTGGTGCGCTGGGATTAAGCCTCACCCCTTTGTCACACAATTTGGCTTCATGATGAATGACAAGGGTACGCAGATCTTGGTGGATCCCTACTTAAAGGTCAAGGGAGAGGATGGTATTTATGCTATCGGCGACTGTGCGACCATCGAGGACTATTGGCTACCACAGACAGCTCAAGTGGCAAACCAACAAGGACTGCACTCCAAGCACATGTTCAAATAAACATCAACAAGGACTGGATTCATCGCTACTAGGCCATCGCTACTAGGTGGGAGGCCATCGCTATTAAGTTGGAGGCCATTACAAGTAGAATGAAAAGCAAAGCCCCGAGGAAGAACATGAACATACATTGACCAAATGGATCAAATGATGCGGATACACTGATACAAATCCATGGTACACCAGAAGGCGGTCCTTGTGGCATTTGTTTACTCCGCCATGTTTACTACAGGTTGAACAGGAAAGCTAGTACTGAACAGATACTCACCACGAGTCCGCGCTTGTAGGCCCGGTTCCCACCCTACCTTACTCCCATATACCCAGTACCAGCACCGAGCATGTAGAACAAATATAGTACAAGAGAAAGGCAAAGATATTTCAAAAATAACTAAATATAAATGTGAAAGAATTGCTGAAGAAAGGACGAAAAGTACGAAAAGGACCAGGATCGACACATCCATGGTACTCACACGCCAGATTCGTAGGACAATATTTGGCAAAGTCACTGAGCGAAGATGACCAGCAGAAGATCAAGCCCTTTGAGTTCCACAACAAGGCACAGAGACGATTGGATGTAGGCCATCGCTATTGGGTTGGAGGCCATCTCTAGTAGGTTGGAGGCCATCTCTAGTAGGTTGGAGGCCATCGCTAGTAGGTTGGAGGCCATTGCTTGTTCAAAAAGTGATCACACGGTGCAAATGGTTGTCAATCCTGTGGATCGATTTGGTTTTCAGTTCTCGTGCTGGACAGGGCACAATGGCATATTTGGGTGGCCTCACGGCAATCATGGCCAATTTGCCTGGAGTCAATCGTATAACTGGCTTCGTGGCATTCTTGGGTTGGCGTTTCACTTATTGGTTTCTCCAACTATCAATGAGGAACCGCTTCATGTTGAGCACTGATTGGTTGCGTACCTTGGTTAAATCATCCGATGATCCATCGTTTCTTGAAGGTTTATTCTCATCTTGGATAAATCTTTATTTTGACAAAAACAAATCTTTTGTTGAAGGGATTTTACAGACATTCAACGAGGCACCTTTATCTTTGGACGAGACCTCACACGTTTTGGACCTCGGTCCAAACCGACATAATATGGTGGATATCATCGATTACAAATCAATTCAAGATTGAACATAAAATAGCAATTGATAATTGGATTTTAACATATTAATATATAATTATTTCTATGAGTGTAAAGCATTGATTAAATATCTTTGGTATTGAATTCAATAATATTGCTTATATTTTGTAATAATTTGTAGTTTATCGATTTTAATATTAAGATATAATAAAGTCAACATCGATTTTTTAGTCAATTTTATGGAAGGATATATATTTGAATTTGAATATTATTATAGAGGAATAGTTTAATGTATAGATGATAATATATTGATGTAAGGAAATATGTTTATTTATCGTTTTCGTTTCGGATTTTTAGATGTATTTGGGCGATATGTTTTTTATTTTTAAGATTTTATGAAGAAATATATTGAACGAAAATATATTAATATTATGATAATTATTAGTTGTAGGTTAGGTTTGATTGGGACGAAATACATATTTTATTCGATGAGTTTAATTGTTTAATTGGTAACATAGAATATTAATTGGTATTAGTTTTTGTGATTGATTTTTTTTTCTTGTTTGATGATTTTTTTTAATTAATATTTTATTTGTATATTTTTTAATATGTATTATATGTTTAATTTAACAAATAGAATTTATTTAATATATGTTTATTAAGTTTTAATTATTGGAATTATTTTGGTTGCGATTATAATGTTAAGTATTTTAAGTCGACGAAATAGAATTTAGTGAATTTTATATATAATACGAAATATTATAATGAATTTTGTAATTTGGTTATGAAATCGGAATATATTTATAAATTTATGGTTATGAAATTTATATTAAAGAATTAAATTTCGGATGATTATTCGATTATAATTTTTTATTTATTGGATATATTAATGAGGAATTCGGAAAGTAGCGAATTATATTAATTGTTTGTTAATTATGCGGCATAGATTAATAAATTTATAGAGACTTTGGGGATGTTTTGGATTCGTAGGATGTAATTGAATTTGTTGATTAATTTAGGTCGTATTTTTTTAGCTACTATGAAGATAACCGGATTTTCATTGGATGGTAAAAATGCCGCTTTTATTCGCTAGAGGATTAAGGTTTTGTGATTGCGCAATTTTTATTGCACTGCCGTGATTTACAAAAGGTAACAATTGAAAATGACCCATATGTTTGCTTCTTTTAATTTAATAACCTAATATATATTTAAATTGACCGTTTTCCGAGCTTGGATTGCAAATTTTGCGAACTTATCTATTTGAAATATTACTTCCAATCTTTTCGGTAATTTGGCGCAATTTTTATGTTTTGGTCCGCGTCCTTTATTTAGGCCTAATACCTTAAAATGGATACTATATTTCGGCCTTGCAATTCGTCATTAAACCTCCTCATTGATGGAATACGACCTCACCAAATCTTCATAATTAAAGACATAACCAAATCTTCATAATTAAAGACATAACAGTGAGTGCTACATACTTTGGCTTGCACCTGCTGATTAGCTCCAACCCATCTATCGAATTGTAATTCGATTAAATGATCGACATAAAATCCCATAGAACCTTGTGGATTTAGGTAAGACGTTCGCATAATTTGTATTTGTTAATGTTATATGGGCCTTCTTCTATATCTCGTCTGTTGCTTTTCGTTCTTAATCGACGTAGCTATACAATTAAATATAACAATATGCAAATTCATTAATAATAAACATATCCTATTCGTTTATCGATAAATTTAAATTTATAATTTTGAATATATATATAATATTTCGATATTTATAGATCAAATCGAAAACCTTTAATTAATGAATAAAAATAAATAAAATCGATTATCAAAAGAATCAATCCAACGAAATTTAAAGTCTTTGGATTTTAAAATATAACCACATCAATTAATCTATATCAAAGAATATATCATTATAAATATAAAGATAAATATATAAATCTATCAAAAAATTATATGCTCCAATTTAAAAAAAATATTTTATAAATTTTATTTATACCATAATTTCCATCTAAAATATAAATCCAAGAAATATATATTTATATAAAATTAATTATTACCATAATATAAATATAAACAATTATGCATTAATATTTATATATTATAATATAAAAAACCAATATTAATATATATATATTAATTTATAATATATATTTAATTATTTCCAATTTATTCATGTATTTTATTTTAAAATATATTTTAATAAATAATTATATATTTGTAATTTAATTATAAAACATATTTAAAATATTATTAAATATAATAAAATAAATATAAATATAATATTGTTAATATTATATATAAAAAATCATTATTAATATTATGTAAATTTCAATTAATAATATCCGAATTTCAAATCAATTTAATATTCTAAATTTATTAGAAATTCTATAAAGATCCATATAATATTAATATCTAGCAATATTTATTAATGTAAAATTAACACAATATTAATGCGTAATTAACATATATTTTAAGCAATTATTTTGCAAAATCTAACGATCCTCTAAATATTAAATATATATATATATATATTAATAATGAATGTAAATTATCGCCTATCGCAATTTTCAAGCACAATTATAGAATAAATATATTTAGCTAAGGACCCGCTACATCACCTTAAAAAGAGAAAGTAACAACATCATAAGCTATTTTGTCAAGGCCAAGGCACGAAGAAGGTCTAATGAAATTTAATTAAATGGAATAGAAAGACTTTACACCTTATACTGTCTAAACTTTAACAGGTATTCATATAATTGATTTTTGTGGCGGTCGGATTCTTGGAGGGATTTTGGCCTCGCAAATTACACACATATCTTTAATAAATGAGGAAAAGGACAATGTGTTTTTTCATATTCAAATAATTCTAAGCCCTCCACCCAGCTCCTTCGGGCTGCATCTTGCGCTGCAGCCAGAGCTGCTCGGCTTGTCTGCAATGCCCGCACTTGCTTGCCAAGGGCTACCTGAGAGACATATTAGTTCCTGCTCTCCGCTGAGCGCCATACCGATTGATTGCTTTGGACCCACTTGTACGTAGTTTGCATGTCGAGCCTATTTGCACAAATCCCGGCCTCCGCCTGAGATGGTTCTCTCTGGCGCAAGGCCACTGTGCCCTCTTGCCGTGCCGATTCCGCCTGAGGCAAGACCACTCAGCACATCTCACCAACAATTCAGGCACATGCTAAAATTCAAGTGCAATTTTTGTACATGCTTAAAAAGCACAAGCGTCGTTTTTTTTCAAATGTTTGGTCCCAGTTGCCATGCTCAATTGCCAAGCTTTCAGGCAATAGAGCTGGAGGCGCTGCACCTCTAACAAGAAAAGCTGAACCCTCAGTTTCCTTTCAAAATGAAGGTTAACTTTCTCTCCGTTAATGAGGAAACTAATTCCCAAACAAACAGGTTGCAGGCTATCCACTGGCTGGGTAGGAAGGGGAGGCTCTTCTGTTCGAATGGTCTCGACAGGTGACATTAATCTTTCATATCGTTTGTGTGTGTTGCTTGTTGTCAAGTTCATATCGTATGTGTGTGAATTCCTATCTTCCATCAAGGTCAAGCATCTGACAACCAGCATGAAGTGAAGACGCAACAAAGCCTCCAACGCCAGCTTTCGCGCAACAAATGCTGCAGCGTTCACGGTGTTTCTTCGGGTTTGGAGCCTCAGGATGTAGCATGAAAACCGCCAAAGTCCTCTGACAGAGCTCTCAACGGTGGCGCAACAGGTATCAGGTACCATGTGATAGTGACGGCCTCTCTCTTCTTGCAAAGGGGCGTTCATATGTTATAGTTCCGGACTGAATTTGCCGCAAAGAGTTGGTGCGTGATACATGGCGACACACGAAACAAACGGAAACAACCGAACTGGTCTGTCTCCACGGCGGTCTTTGACGACCTACCCCAGACTACCTATGACTACCCCACCGTCAGACAGGTCACACTGGACGTCTACTATTCTTTCTGTCCTTCACACCCTTTGGATCCCTTTGGTCCTTTCTTCCTTGCCTGCTAGATGGTTCTCTCCAAACACGGCCCTAATTGTTCGAGTGCGCTTTGCCACCACTTCTCTCTTGTATAGGTCAAGGTCTTCGCTAGTTGGAAGCGGCAAAGGCGTCAACATGTCGCATGTATAATACATTATTGGCAAGGACGCTAGTAGTAACAAGGGCATCGCTACTAGTTTGTTTTATAAGCGGATTGAAGACTGGTATAAAGAAGCTACTAGTAGCTCCTGGGATCGCTATTTAGTAGAATTAAAATTGTTTTGGATGTTATTTTAGGGTGGCGGGTGTTGGCTTGGCACTTCAGGGTGGACGTTCTGGAGTCGACAGCAAAGCTGCACTCCCCAGACGTGTTTCTGTTCGACCTGAGGCATCCTAAGGCCTGGGGGAACCCGGCCTGCCCCCAACTCCACGCATGCGAGCGACTTCTGCGCAATTCGCCCAAGCAACTGAAGCTGCCAGTGGTTCAAGCATTGACGGAGAAGTGCTCCACTTTCCATGGAGGACTTGCTATTCAAGGCGCGCTGGGCCACCTTCAGGGTTGAATGTTGCTGGCTCAGTTCGCCACAAGCACCACACGAGCTCATAAAACCTGCAAATCACAAAACGCTAGCGGCTGCGTTCGTAGCTTCTGGCTCAGTTCGTAGCGATGCCAGGAGCTACGTTCGTAGCTTCTTGCTAGCTACTTGCTAGGGTATATATAGTCGCTTGCTAGTCACTAGTCGCTTGCTAGCGACCCTGACCCTGGCCTCGGATCTCGACCTTACCATGACAAGCACCACACGGTCATAAGGTGTGAATACAGCGTGACACACGTGCGACCGAGCTTCCAGGTCTGGTACCAACCCATCAGGCAAGTGCCTAGAAGCAGCCAGCCCTGTTCGATTTGCAAGCGCGACAGGATATCCAGTGCTGCCACTCTGGATAAAGCAGCTTTGGATGAGCCCTTAGTGACTCAGTGATTCATATCCAGGTCCACATGATCAAGATCTCTAGGCCATTAGTAGGTCCGGTTGGAGGTTCGTTCCACCATGTTCCAGGTCTGAGAGGCCGACTTTCAAATCGAGGTCGCTTCGCCAGGCAAAGAAGCAACGCATCACAACTAGCCTCTCTCGCTTCTCCACATGATCTGTGGCAGCAAGCCTGGGCGAGATTGGGCGAGCACAAACAGAAACCAGGCCAACAAGCTGAGGGTCTCACCACATGTTCTCCTGCCTCAGACCTGACAAAAACTGATCTTGAACTGCCTTGAGCCCGAAGGGTGCAAACGAGCAAATCCAATCTAAGGGAAGTACTAAAATGCATGGAGGCACGATAGTGGACCTCCTCTTCTTGCTCCCGAGCCTCATGGTGAAACCAGATGTGTAACATGTTCAACAACCGGCCTGGCCACACAGCGCACACAGCGCCTGTGCTAATTCATTCCGCCACATCTCCATTTGCACCTCTTGAAGGTTCACACCTCGAATTCTGCGGCAGAAACGCTCATGGTGGACGCTACGATTGGGGCTCCTGCCTTACTACTAGGAGCAAGGAAGCTACGAACGGAGCAAAGGGCATCGCTACTAGAAACAAGAAGCTATTAGGGGCTCCTGGCATCGCTACTAGTAGCAAAGATGCTAAATGGTGGACTCTGAAGCAGCTTAGCTTCAAGCGTGACCAAGATCACATTGACCACCGCGTTTTGACTACAAGTTTTCCTTTGACCATTTTTACGTGGAACTGCTGGGTCCCCACGTTCTGCTGCTTCTTCTGCTTCTCGAAGCGCATTTGCCACTTCTCCTTCTAGCTGAGCTTGCTTGTCTTCGAGTTCTGTCCGCTCAATCTCCCAGGCCGCAGCATCTTCGAGAAAGAGTCGTCGTTCGAATTCCAACAGGTCACGACGGTCGAGTCGTTCTTCATCGTCCACCTCCGGCGACAAAGGCGAGACGGGTGTCTTTGAGAAAGCCCTGCGGCCCATTGGAGATGGGACTGAAGGTGGCATCTCTTCACATTGACAAGCCACAGACACTCGTTCTGGGCTCATTGGGGTTGGAATGTGCTCCAATCTGATGGAACTCCTACTGGAATTCCTTCGTACCTCATGAAGCAAATGCTCGACATCTTCCTTCTCAGTGTAAAGCCGTTCAATCTCTTCGGTTGCTTCTTCAAGTTGTGATTGAAGCAATTGCACGTGCGGATTTTGGGTCCAACCTGCAGCATTCGGACTCTTAGGGCTGCTTTGCTCACTCGAAGAATGGATGTTGTAGTACTCTCCTTCTTCATCTCCTTCTTCCTCTTTTTCACTTTCTTTGGCCTGCTGCTTCTTCTGCAGTCCCAAGATGAAAGTATGCGCCTTGAGCTGAGCACGAACAGTTCTCCAATGTTTTGTTGCAACTCTTTGTTGAAAACTGAAATCTGAGGTGGATCCCGGTTGTCCCGTTGATCCCAAGGAGTCCAAGGGTAGGCCGGGTAGATGCTGTAGCTTTCGCACATTGACACGTAAATCGCGGGGATTTTGCGGCGACTCCACTTCCAAAGTGGGCCAATCTTCGCAGTCCATCCGCGTCACACTCTCCAAGTCACTCTCCCTCGACTTCCCTCTATGCTCATATATTGTGTCTCGCACGTCCACACTCGTTCATCAACTAGCAACTTCTGCATTCTGCTCGAGTAAAATGTGTGTGTGTGTGTGTGTGTGTTTGCGTGGGCATGCAGCATAGCATAGCATAACCTACCATCAAAACTTTCATGACATGCGTGTTCTGCTGGAAAAAAGTGCTTGCATCGGGATCCGTGTCTACATCGGTGACTTGGGCCTAACCGTCACCAGCCGTCAAGGGCACAAGGATTACAAGGCATGGCTGGACTCGGATAGTCTCTTGCGATTGTTTACGGCCATGGCGAGACAGCAGTCCTTTTCACACCGCACGTGCGAAGGGACGTGGCATTTGCATCGGCGAATTGGGCGCAGGGCCCGGTGCTCAAAACTCCAGGAGATTGTCCAGCTCATTGGCCAATTCCATCCAGGTGATCTCAGCGACGTGATCAAATCATGCCATAGCTGTTTTTTTGGGCCGATTTGTTTTCCAAATGGGGGAGTCGAGAATAGTAATGGAATAGACATGCTCATAGCGATCAGTTTTTAGGGTGTGCAATAATGATTCCAAGCAGTTACGCCGTTTTTTGGGGCCGCAGCAGTTGGATTTGGAGGCAATGATAAACGTGCCCGCAATTCCCACCAACGGTGTCCTTTCGAAGGACACGCTCACGAGTACCGTAGCTCGATTCGTCGACTCAAAGCGTAGTACCCAAGGGTGCGGCGAGCTGTGGCTCCACCTGCAAAAAAGAGAGAATAGCAATGCCCTTTATAGCTACTAGTAGCGAACCTGGTTCCTAGTAGTACGGCCAGGAGCCCCTAGTAGCGAACCTTGTTCCTAGTAGCGATGCCCTTTGCTACTAGTAGCGTCCTCACCTAGTTGCGTCCGATCGTTCCAGCGATGCCCTTTGCTACGTTCGTAGCGTCCTTGTTCCTAGTGACCCAAACATGGCCCGAGCGGATTCTCGATCACCTCCTCCAACCGACTTAGCAATGGCCTGCCAAACCTACTAGCGGCTTGGCCTCCATCTGAGTGGATGAAATGCCCTACATACTGAGTCTTCCGAAGGCTCTTCTCTTACGCATGCAAGTGTCCTTCCGAGGAACTAGCTTGGGCCCAGTGGTGGGAGAGGTGGTGCAACCTTGGAATGGTGCCAAGGCTCCTAGCGGTTGGCATCCGAATTCTGAGTCTCATGTATGCAGCTCATTTTGCTCTTAGTAGCGTCCTTGCTCCTAGTAGTAAGGCCAGGAGCCCCTAGTTAGCTCCTTGCTCCGTTCGTAGCAGCTCATTTTGACTCATGAGGCCTCCGAGATTTCGATATCCATCGTTTCAATGAAGACAGAAACGAGTCCCCGGGCAGCATCCAACAGAAGCAACACCTTGGCACATGAAGTTCTGAAGCGCCATCTCTGACTCTTTCGATGCTCAAGCCCGGTGACAGCTTTTCTTGGGAGCGATAATGGTAGCGCACTGGCCCCAGGAAGGGGAGATGCCTGAAACAAAGAGAAGCATTTGGAGTTAGCACCCCTTCAAACTCCAAAACGGACTTTTTGTGCCTCCTTAGTGCCTTCCGCCAGTTCCACAAATGTTCGATACAGCCTGGCTTGCAGTGGTAATATCAATAATGAAACCCGGGAATGAACTCCGCCAGTGCACACCAACTTGTAAGCGAAAGCTGCCAACCTCTTGCATGAACGCTGCCATTCGATGTTTTTCTTGCAAAGACTTCTTGCGAAACCACCTGAACCTCGTGAACCTCCTGAACACGCTAAGAAAAACGCCAACGTCGAGTCTTCCCTCTGAACACCAGGCGGCAGCACATCGCTTGCAGCATTTCAAAGGGCATCGGCTCCTACCGCATCCGGTCGTCGTCGCGTCGTGTGCCGGTCTCGTCGTGTCGTCGCGTCGTCTAAACGTCGTGACTTGCCGTCCTTGAAACGAGTAGCGGCACCTGATGCTTTGAACCACGATGCACGGCTTGTACAGCTACAAGGCAGCTTACGCTTTGAAGGAGAAAGAAGCAAAAACCAAAAAAAGGTCAAGCTTGGAGGCCATCGCTCTTAGGTTGGAGGCCATTGCTAGTAGGTTGGAGGCCCTTGCTAGCAGGTTAAACGGCCATCGCTCATAGGTTGCAGGCCATTGCTAGCAGGTTGGAGGAGGCCATCGCTCTTAGGTTGGAGGCCATCACTGAGACAGTGGAATATCAGCTCTTTGTTGCTAGTTCCTATAGCGATGCCCTTTGCTCCTAGTAGCGTCCTCTACCCTCCCTGCCCGCGCGCGCCCGCGCGCGAAAAAGCTCCTAGTAGCATCTTTGCTTCTTGTAGCTTTTTGTTCCTAGTAGTAAGGCCAGGAGCCCCGTTCGTAGCATCCTTGCTCCCAGTAGCGATGCCAGGAGCCCCTAGTCGCGTCCATTTTGCATTCAGCCGTTTGGGCCTTTCAGGTCTTTGTGCCCTCAGGCGTGGATGGCTAAAGCATGCTAAAGCTACAGGCTACATCTCCGCGAGTCCTGCCAGCTGGCTCAACCCATTGGATCATCGAAGAGTCCTCGGCACTGGAACCCCAACTTGAAGCATGATTGAACAATATTATTGACAGAAAAGGCGTGCTGCAGTGATGTTGTTTGCTGTTGCGGCTGTCTGACCATGTCTGACCTGAAGCATCCTTCCTGCCCTGTGGCAGTTTCGATCTCTGCCCTGTCTTGGCAAGAAAGCACTTTGTATGAGCAGTAGGTTTGTGGACAAAGGAAACAATGGTCGCCTTCCAGTAGGGGTCTTTCATATATTTGTCCCGCCAAGACTCGATGAAAAAAACAACCGAGTAACACACCTGGGTAGTACCAAGTCAGCGCCGAGCTGCTGTACAGGCGCTTAGCTCGATGATCATCCAACTCACCCAGCCACAATCGGAAGACACAGGTGATTGGCACTGACAGTATGGCACCTAAAGCATCAAGAAACATCGGCGCTTTGTCCGAATGGCTCGGGTCAATAGAGCATGCGGAAGGGTCAAAACTCATCTAAACAAACCCATGAAAAGCCCGTGGGGGCCAGCGGAAAGATATCCCAACTAAGGCATCAGCCAGCAATTCCCCAAATGCTGCTCCAAAACCTCACACTCTCTCTCTCTCTCTTCTGCTCGAACGCCTCAAAACTTCCCACCGACCGAGGGCCGAGCAAAAGTGATACTACAATAGTCAATGGATGCAATTGCAGGCCTCAACTTGATCCCAAACGAACCAGAGACGGTCGACTGAAACGAGGAACAAGAGACTTCTGGTGTCTCACTGCCGCCCTGGCCGTGAGACATAATGTGGGGCTCAATGATGTTGCCAGCGATGTTGTGAACCTTTAAGGACGGATGTAGGAACAAGGTTCGCTACGAACGGAACAAAGGGCATCGCTACGAACGGAGCAAGGGACGCTCCATGCATGCATGTGCGACTGTCATCGAGGACGGGGCAAAGGGTGCTGAGGAGCCGGCAAGGAACTGAACCAGGACAACAATGAAGGTGTCCAAAAGCCTTAGATCAAGAAATTGGCCATCGCTCTTAGGTTGGAGGCCTTCGCTATTGGGTTGGAGGCCATCACCATTAGGTTGGAGGCCATTGCAATTAGGTTGGAAGCCATCACTATTAGGTTGGAGGCCATTGCAATTAGGTTGGAAGCCATCACTATTAGGTTGGAGGCCATTGCAATTAGGTTGGAGGCCTTCGCTCTTAGGTTGGAGGCCTTCGCTCTTAGG